AATTTCAAAAAACGAAGGAGTCTCCACATCATTCAGTGTCCGGCCGCGGCATGCAGTTTTGTACGAGCTACCGTTTTTTTAAGCGCAAAGAACCGCGTCATGCGCTATCGGCCAGCATTAATATTAATAACTTTTTAATTTATTATTTATAGGTTCTCTGAGCCATTCACAAATTGAGTCGTTCGAATAGCCATGATTGATGTTTTTTGATATTAGAACTTTAATGAAGAATATATTGGCATAATTAATATAGGCTGTAGCAAACTCCCTTTAGTCTTTTATTAAAAAAAAATTGATTATATCAATAATTAAAATTCGTTTTTCAATTTTTATTTCATATTTTTAATTGCATGTTCTTGTTCATTTACATTGCCAATCTCTTTTTTATTTGTAGGTTTTTTATAAATAAATTCTTACTAGTTCGGTTACGTTTTGTAAACAGATTAAATTCTATTCTGAAGAATATCAAATTCAGTTGAGTATGATTTCAAATTTTTCAATCAATTTCATCCTAATCGTCTTAAAACAATTTAAAGACTATATTGTATAGTCTTTAAATTGTTTTAGCATAATTTTGAGCTAATTTTTATGTCATTTTTACACACATTTGAACGTCACATAATTATTTGGTGCACCTACCGCATAAACCAGTCCATGGAAGTGGCGGAATAGTTGTATTCACGAGGGCACCAAGTTTCTTGGTGCTATGCGGCTTATGTTCGATATTTCTTTGTACTCGCCGCCGCTGTATATGTTGAATACCACCGTCCCATACAGGTATCCCGCATACCGCCGTCCGACGGCGAACAGTGACGAAATGCCCGGACCTCGACTCCACGCCGGTGGGAAAGCCAAGTAAATGGATTTAGTGCAAAAACCGAGTAATAACGTTATTGTCCTTTTAACTTACTTTACTATCGGCTTTTTTCTTTTTAAAGTTATTTTAAGTCTTTGTTAGTAGATAGTATAAACTTGAGCAATGAGCAAGATTTAAAACTGTATTGCGACGTAAAAATGTTACAATATAATAAGAAATGAGAATAAGATTAGTCACTAAGTTAGTCCCTAAGGGTAGATCATTTTAATAAGTGTTAAGACTCGAAGTGTGGAAGTAAGTATTTGTAATACGTCTCCAATCTTCCTGTAATCTACAAAACTTTTATATGCTAGCAATATGAAAAATTCTAAGCGATCGTATTGTTATTTTTTACTCTTAACTGCAATTATTATTGCCTGTTTTTGTATTTCCAAAGTTTTGCACCATAGATATTTAAAGTCCATTTCAGCTAGTATGTAAATCCAGTTGAAATATGTTTTAGGTAAATAAATACCACAAAACAAAGGGAACAGGACAGAGTAGCGTGACTGGCGAATGTACAGCCAGCAAAATAATGTTCTCCACGGGAATATAATTTCATTGCGGTTGTCGCTGGCATATGGTGCCCGGCGGCCATTTTGTTTCATGCTTTTTTTTCTGGCATCAGTATCTTTTGTCATTCAAAAGGCAGATGTACCTATTTTACACTGTAAAAATACACATACGAGCTGTTGCTGTGCATGTTTTGTTTTTAAATTGTTTTAATTAAAATATTTGTTGTTTTTTCGTTTAAATGTGACGTTTGAAGACATCGTTAGTGTTATTTAGATCTGAATTTGAATCATTTATTGCATTTAATTTGCCTAACTTTGAATACCATTAAAAAGATGTTTTTGCAATAAAGTGTTTTGCTAACAATGTTCTAATTTCTTATATGGTACTTCTATTTGTTATATATTGAATTCGAACATAAAAGATCGACTGCATTTAAATAAAAATGAGCAGATAAAAAAAATCTTAATTCCAAATTCCATATCTATCTCTTGATATATTTAAAAGAACGTAAACGAAATATGAGAATTGAAAAATCGGCGTTAAATATAATAAAACGCAACCTTCTCGCAGCGGGTTAAGTCGAGTGAATTGAATGCCAATAGAGTAAGTTAGGTAGGATGGGGTTAAGTTATATCGTGGCCTGCGACCCGACTAATCAAGGTGGGGTGAAATTGGAGGAGGAGATTAGTGATGTACATCATCTCATGTTATCGATGTCGATATATTACAAAAATAGTTGGCTTTTTATTAGAATACGAAAATAGATCTTTAAATATTATAATTAAAAGTAAATTATGACATTAAATATATTTTATATACCAGAAAGTGGATTAATAAAATTAAATATGTTTTTGTACCAACATAGTAACAGAATTATTATAGCTTTTGTAATAATAATAAATTATAGAATAATCAATTCATATGTCAACAAGTATAATAATTATAATGTAGAAAAAAGATGGCAACATTTATTTAATTAAGGTTAACCTATCATTACGCTTTGATTCAATTTATCGTTTATTTTATCATAATGAAATATATACGTTCTTTAAGATACAAATACGAAACAATAATTTAAATAATACAACAAATATAACCCATACTTGTTGTTTAATAATTAATAATCCATTAAAACTATGTTTCTGTTATCTAGAGTTAATTTATTTTTGTATAAACTACTTTGAATCGGTTTTTTAATATCATACAAGATAATTGGTTTTGTTTACTACATATTTAACGCTTGTAATTACTGATGTAATATCTCAATTACATAAATCGGTTTCTTTTATAAAACTTGTTTGTTACGAAATAATTGCAATAACCTTTTACATTTAAAAATAGCATTTTTTAGAAATTGATTTAACTTACTAATGGAAATTTATAAATATAACAAAAAACCTGTTATTATAAGATAACAGTATTTAAAATCTGGTTTTGAAATAGTCGAAGTGTGTATTGGTTCCAAAAATTAACTTAACACCCAAACAATATACTAACAAAAAATCTTTTGAGTTTTTATTACTGTTAAATATTATTACATATGATAAAAAAGTTTTCTATTTGGCTCTGTCATTTCGTCGTTACAATCTATGCCTTATTTTTTTTTTCATTTATGACGTCTCACTATTATACAATTATAATTATCTAAAAACTTAACACATAAACGACCTTTAAAGAACACAGAATTATATTAACAATTTTAGTAATGTTGTAATGAAATAATTTTATCGATATCAATGTAACATCACTAGTGTTCGTAACGGTGTAGTAACGGCAGCCAGCACCCCGCACGTGGCCCCGCCCCCGCGCACGCTACAACCCCTACATATATGTCACATAGCCCACTCTGTTTACTAATGTAGATCATAACGAAAAGTTAAAATGGATTAAACAACTAAATGTTATCGATAAAAAGTAGAAACAACACTAATAACTCACCACTACGGCTTTGTTACAACAATATTTATATATAAATCGATTTATTTAATTATAACATAATTATTTTAATAACTAGAAAGTGCATTGATAATGTTGAAGATATAGAGCGAAGTAATTACCATTTTTTAAATAAATAACCCATAAATCAATTAACACTATTACTACAACTAAAACATTGCAGTTTAACTGTAGAAAGCAGTGAAGTGATCTCATAAGAATCACTTTTTATAGTTAGTACTAGCTGTGGCTCGCGACTTCGTCGACGCAATATTAAGAT